TTCTCCAGGCTAGTGAATTTTTAGAAAATCATGGATTTTTAGTTGAGCATCCATGGACATGGTCTTGTGCATAGTGGGCCTTTTGCTGTGCATGGTCTGCATAACCTATCATTTTCTCCAGGATGGTGAATTACTAGAAAATCATGGATTTTTAGTTATGCATGCATGGACATAGTCTGGTGCATAGTGGGCCTTTTGTTGTGCATGGTCTGCATAACCTGTCATTTTCTCCAGGGTAGTGAATTACTGGAAAATCATAGATTTTTAGTTGTGCATGCATGGACATGGTCTTGTACATAGTGAGTCTTCTGCCGTGCATGGTCTGCATAACCTACCATTTTCTCCAGGCTAGTGAATTTCTGGAAAATCATGAATTTTTAGTTGTGCATCCATGGATATGGTCTTATGCATAGTGGGTCTTCTACCGTGCATGGTCTGCATAACCTACCATTTTCTCCAGGCTAGTGAATTTCTGAAAATCATGGATTTTTAGTTGTGCATCCATAGACATGGTCTTGTGCATAGTGGGTCTTCTGTCGTGCATGGTCTGCACAACCTATCATTTTTTCCAGGATAGTGAATTACTGAAAAATTATGGATTTTTAGTTGTGCATCCATGGACATGGTCTTGTGCATAGTGGGTCTTCTGCCGTGCATGGTCTGCACAACCTATCATTTTCTCCAAGATAGTGAATTACTGAAAAATCATGGATTTTTAGTTGTGCATCCATGGACATGGTCTTGTGCATAGTGGGTCTTCTGTCGTGCATGGTCTGCATAGTCATTTCAGCCAATATGGTAACTAAATTACTCAACATTTATGGATTTGTAGTTGTGCATGAATGAGGACTGAATCTATCTTTATATTTTTCTTGTTTCATTTTGGTTTTAAAATTATGTCACTCTTAGGTCACTATTAGTAAATCCACTTTTCTTGATTTGTTTTGCTATCCTTGATTATTTTTTCTTCTGCTAATCATAGTTAATTTGTGTAGGTGCTAAGCATAAAATGGCTTCCAACAAACCACAAAAAGCGATATCAACTACGGGATGGCGTGATTTTAGAAGAGAATTTTTGGAGATCAATAAAGGCAAGTACAAAAAGGTAGGCGATTCAAATGAGACTGCAGCTGAGATATGGAAAGAAATGAGCATAGAGGAGAGGGAGCCATATAGAATGAAGGTGACTGAAAATAGAGAGGTGAAAATGCAGAAAAAATATGACATTCCTTTCCACACTCGATGCTCTCCAGTAAAATTTAAAGAAATTGTTGAGTTCGTAAAAGAGAATGGCCATTTAAAAAAGAAAGTTGAGGCAATTGGGTTTTCTAAGTTGTTGGATATCGAAGGCTTGAAAATCCCAAGAGAGTTGTGCCATGAGATCATGCAATCTTATGATCCCCCGACTCAAAAAATAACAATAAGGGGGAACACAGTATTAGTGAGAGCAGGGGACCTACAGGCTATTATGGGGCTACCTAATGCTATAAGGGTAGTAGAGTTGAATGTTAACAAGGAGTTGGTAGCAGAGTTGAAGAGTGATTATACATCAATGTCATTAAATGACTTGAAGAACAAGATCACTTTAAATGATGAGAATGACAAGTTTGAGTTTCATTTTTTGTTGTTGACACTTAGAACTCTTTTGTGTCCTGGTGGAAGTCCCCAAGTTACTGATAAGGCATTGAAGGTATTGGCATGTACGAATGATGCATGGTCTGATTTTGATTGGGCTACTTTTGTGTTGGAGGAGTTGAATTGGGAGATTCAGCTCTACAAGGAGCATGTCAAGAAGGAAAAGTCAAAAGGAACCAAATATATTGGAGGATGCCTCTACTTCTTATTAGTAAGCTAAGTTATTTTTGCTATTCTCATGAACCTTAGTTGTTACAGCTATCCTTACATTGAATTGATGTTTTAGATTTTCTATCTCCAAAATTTTTCTTTAAACAGAGCTGTACCCCCAGCTAGTGAAGCAATAGGATATTGGACTGAAGAAAGGGTTAATGAAATGGTGAAGGTTGAGCGGCAGAGCTGCTATGGCCTGTTGTACACTAAAGCACCAGCCCACCGTGATGCCAACCTTAATGCCTCAACGCAACTGCCTCCAATTACTACCTTTCATGACGAGGTGTGTATACTTTTAACCCAATAGTATTTTTAGATCCCTTAGTTATGAGTAAGTGAACCCTAAGTTTAAAACAAGTGAACCTTTTGATGTGCAAGACACGAAGGATATGTACATAAGAGTGAAGGCTTACATGGAGAAGGTCTGTTTTACCAATGTTAATTTGTGAACATTTCATTGTGAAACAAGAACATATTATTGTGAATAAGTGCCCATTTCATGTTTTGTAGGAAATGAAGGAAGTACAAGAGAGAGTCATGTCTTACATGGCTAATGAGCTGCTAGAGTTGCAATCAAAGAGGGATGTCATAGAAGAGGAAGAGGAAGAGGAAGAGGATGAAGATGAGATAGGTGAGAAGGACAAGGACGACGAGGAGGGTGAGAAGGGGGAACATGATAAGGATGAGGATGATGCAGACATAGAGACAGAAGAACAAGTAGAGGTAGAGGATCTAAAAAACATGAAAGTTGAAAAACAAGAAGGTGGGGAGGATAAAGAGAAAGATAGAGATCAAGTAGTAGAAGAAGCAGAGAAATCAGACATGGATGCATCTGAACACAAAGTGGCTACCGAAGAGAAAGGGAAACTTCTAGTGAGGAGATCTAAGAGGAAGAAGAAGGCTATTGTTAAATCTCTGTGGACGCCACTTGTTACCTAAAAGAAGAGAAAGTTAGTAACAAGCAACGACTATACGGATTGTGCACAGATTGGTGTACAATAGAGGATGGTGGAGAGTAAGTGAAAAATTACTGTCATAAGAAATTGAAAAAAAATGTTCCTTACTACAAAGCATTGTAACTATTTGTTTTGGTTGGATGCCGCAGGATATTTGTCCAAATGTATGACTACTATCTTACACGGAGTGAGCTACATTCTCTTGAACCAACACAATAGATAAGCAATCGGGTAAAAAAATTTCAAACCTGTATTTAACAATGGAAGTCCATATATGTACAACTGCATGTTCGTAAATGAATAACTAAATATCCATATATGTCCATGTAGGTAATTACTATGGTCAACAGGACTCTTGTAGGTGATCAGAAGGAGCAGTTATCTCATGTCACGCATCATATTTTTGATGCTGAATTCATGGCTAGGATGACAAAGAATCCATCACGGTGGAATATAGATGAGAATGCAAAGTATATTATCCCCGAGCATTTGGGATATAACTTAGGTGACTGTGATTTCATATTTGGGCCTGCGTTTGTTGGAAACCATTGGTTCTGCTTTGTCCTGGAGCTAAAGACAATGAAATTTTATATTCTTGATTCTATGGTTGATCATGAGCAATTAGAGGTTGAGGAGGAAGATATGAGAAAAGCAGGAAGAAAGGGGAAAGGGAAGTTGGCAAAAAAACGCCTGAAGGATCCAGTGTACAAGGGCCAAATAATGATGGGTGCAAATATTGTACGCTTTAAATTATGAACACTTGCTTTTGAATTTATCACCCTTTTAGTGTTTGTTGGCTGACCATTTACCTTTACAGAGGGAGCATTTCAGATCAATTTTGCTCAAGGTGAAGCCAGAATTATCTCAGGTCGAGTACAGTACTAACATACTCTATCTGTGGGTCTTCAAGCAAGAGAACAAGTAAGTTATGTTGGTATAACATTATAATCTTTTTCACTATTGCCTTCATTCATATCTCACTCTATTACCTTTGTTGTGTAGTGATGATTGTGGAATTCATCTCATTACGTGGCTCAAATTCTGGAACAATACTATTAATGTTGATCATCCTCCGTTTACCATGCCTAAATACACAACACAAGAACTATCGGCCATGAGGTGTGACATATTATGCTGGCTAATGGAGCATCCCAACAATGTCATCCGTGAACGTCCACTTTTACTTGTAGAAACAGGCACATGAAAAGACAAATGTAAGATTGTAGAATTAGGTTCTCTGACAAGGATTGTGTATATATTTGAAGATTTTTTTTTGTAATTTGAAAATAGTTTTTGTTTGTAATTGGAATTATGTATATATTTGCATGAAAAGAAAATGAAAGCTATAGTCTCAACCTTTCTATTATGTACAGGACAACACCCCCTATGCACAAGACGATATCCATGCATGCACAACTATAAATCCATGAATGTTGAGTAATTCAGTTACCATATTGGCTAAAATGGCTACGCAGACCATGCACGGCAGAACACCCACTATGCACAACCCCATGTCTATGCATGCACAACTACAAATCTATGATTTTCCAGTAATTCACTAGCCTGAAGAAAATGACAGGTTATGCAGACTATGCACGGCAAAAGGCCCACTATGCACAAGACCATGTCCATGCATGCACAACTAAAAATCCATGATTTTCCAGTAATTCACTACCCTGGAGACAGGTTATGTAAAACCATGCACGGCAGAACACCCACTATGAACTATACGATGGCCATGTATGCACAATGAAAAGTCCATGCATTTTGAGAAATTCTGTTGCTGAAATGGCTACGTAGACCATACACGGAAGACCACCCAATATACACAAGACGCTGTCCGCAGATGGACAATGAAAAGTCCATGCACTTTCAATATTAACAAGGACAATTACATCAAGTAAGAATTTCATGTTGGTACTAGCCACATGAAATTTGACATCATATTTCAAGTTTGACATACATAAAAAGTTACCCACTGTATGTAAAACATCTAACAATTGCTTCTCTATATACAGACAAAAAATATGTCATTATTAATTGGGAATTCTTTCATATACATAATTATAGCTACCTATGCACACTAAAGAAGTATAATGTAACTACTTGTCATGATGAGTTAGGATTCTTGCATGTCTTGTGACTGTGTCCGACCTCCTCACATCTTGAACAATGATAAATCTTTTTCTCTTAAAATTAAAACTCTATCCTCCTTATTCTTGGCCTCCTAGGAGGACGGCTGGTTAAAGGCGGCTGCAAGAAAGTTTGTGATAAGTTATCTGTTAATGTTGCTGTATCAGGCTTTGGAATGTCAAAAGTCTCAATCGGGATCATGTTACTACCGTATATTTTTTCTTGACAACTTAAATGATACCATTCCTCAACATATTGATATATATTGCCATGTGAAAGCTTTATGGCAGCACATGCATGAGGACATGGTAGTCCAGACATCTGCCATGCCAGGCAAGAGCATTCACGTAATTCAAGATTTACTCGCACATCTCCATTTAATGTTTTCACCCTAACAGTGTTTAATGCATAAAAATCAGCTTGCAATGTATCACCTCTTAACACATTTTCCTTTAGCTTGGTCTCCACATTTGGTCCAACACCATTTGTCCATTTTTTCAGTGCCACTTTGCTGTTGTGTAGTTTCTTCGTTAATTTCTCCCTATGCTCGTACATAAAAACAGCAATATTATATTTCCTTTCCTTGACAACCCAAGAATTAAAGGACTCAGCAATGTTGGTCATTATGTTATCCCACCTCCTATGGGAAAACTTGCTAAGTGCCCATCTATCTATGTCACCGTGTGTTTCAAGCCATTGCAATAAATCCGGACAAAAATTCATCATATTTGACATTGCAACATTAAACTCACTAGTGAGTCTTGCATAAGCTATTGCATCTAAGAGCTTGAATGCTACATCCTTTATCACTCCATTCTTTCTCTTACCTCTTGTAACTTTTAAAAACTCTGACCCAAAGTTTTCTTTCACATGACGGTAACAGAAAGCTTGCCTGTCACAACCATATATTGCTTATACAGCCCTAATAATTGAATTATGTCTGTCAGACACTAGTGCTATCTCTCGCGATTCTGTTATGTTCTTAATATTTTGAAGAAACCATGACCACTCCTCAACTGTCTCACCACTTACTACAGCATATGCCACAGGAAACATCTCATTATCTGCATCATATGCACATGCTGATAGTAGAGTTCCCTTATATGGTCCACTCATGAAAGACCCATCTATATATAGTATGGGCCGAGCACCTTCCATGAAACCTTTTATGCTACATCCATATGCAACGAACAAATATTGAAATCTATTGCACGGCCCAGCTATCCATTTTGCAACTGTGGTCGGATCACTTTCAATTAGCCTTTGACACATCCAGGGAATTAACATATATGATTCGTCCGGTTGACCATGTATTTCAGCTAAAGCTTTCTCCTTGCCTCTATATGCTTGATGATAACTAAGTTTCAAACCATACTCCCTATAGATGTCTCGTCTAATATTATTAGGAGACTTGCCTATGGAAGCCCTCAACTCATCAATTATTATGGATGACGTTAGTGTTGATCTACTTTTATAGGCAACATCAAGATTGTCTTGTGCAAAATGAAGATGTTGATCCTTGAAAGTTCTTATACTTAAGAAACTATTATCTTTTCCACCTAACTTGTATGCTCCAATATACCATGGACATCCCTCAGCTGCACACTTCACAATAACTTGACCTGGTTAGTTCTTCAGAAATTTGTATCCGAACTTGTGCGCTAGGCTATACTTGTATAATGCCTTCCTAAATGCCACAGCACGAGCAAAAGTTTGTCCTACTCCAACAAGCAAATCCTTCCACTTGCTAGCATTCATCTCTAGAATAAGGGTAGGAATGCATTGGATAGCTAAATTATCTTCTCCACTTTCTGTTGGAATGCCTCCTCTAGTGTTGCATAAGCTAAAGCCTTCCAAATCAATATCCCAATGCTGAGGAGATCGCAAACTTCCATCTGAAAATAGTAAAAACTAGTCTATCCTGCATTTACAAAAGTTACCACATTATTAGTGCTTTGTATTAGTAACTTATATTTTAAACGACTAACTATTCAATATAAACAAGTAAATATTCATGTTTGCACATTATATAATCCAGTGTTCCTAACAATGCATTTTTTGACCCAAATGACATGAATGTCAGTACTTACTCTTTAGGATCATCTTCAAGTGCAGCCCATTTAGCAACATACACATGAGCAGTTCTTCCATTATATTCAAACAATTGTTCAACTCCAACATCATCAAGCAGATCTATGAATGTGCTTGAATCAATCTCAACAGTGAACTTTACATCATTTCCATTATCACCATGGCAAACTTCTGAAGATATAAATGATCTTAGCTCTGCATATTTCATTCCTTTTGTTATGGTTCTTACAATTACATTTCCACCCTCATACTTCATACCACTATCAGCACTCCTCACAAATTCACCTCCACAGTGGAAGAAACAAAACAATTTTTCTCTAGAATTACTTTCCATCTCTTATATTAACCTGCAATGAAGAAATTAATCTACGTAAATGTTCACATACAGAAGCCCAATTTTACACAACACAAAGTTCAACATAAACAACTCAAAGTTCATTTTCACACAACAGATACTCCAACGTCTTTGACAGCAAATTTTCTTCACATTGGGAGTCATATTGTATTCAATTCACATGTCAAAATTCAATATTAACAGGTCAACCATAGATATTGTACATATATTCTCACCTAAAAGTCCATGTTATTCAAGTTTATCATTAAGCTAAGCTTTAATGGAATGCTCAAGTTAGGCAAATATGGCACAACATAATATCCACTATGCACAATACAGAGTTCATATATTCTCACCTGAACCAACTTAATGGTTCAATAACCTTTAGCTTATATCAGTAGCTTAAGCTTCCTCAATAAATTGCACAAGTAGGCAAATCATGTATAACACAATATCCACTATGCACAATATAAGGTTCATTTATTCTCACCTGAAAGATCATGTTATTCCAATTTATCATTAGGCTAGGCTTAACAAAAGGAATGATCAAGGTAGAAAAACAAGGCATAACATAATATCCACTATGTACAATATGAAGTTCATATATTCTCACCTGAACGTCATGTGATTCCAATTTATTATTAGACTATGCTTAACATAATGCACATCTTAACGTCCAAAAAAAAAACAGCTCAAAGTTCATTTTTGCACAACAAATACTCCAACATTTTTGGCAGAAAATTTTCTTCATATTGGATCATATTTCATTCAGTTTACGTGTAAAACTCTAATATAAATAAGCCAACCATCATCATTGTGAAACAAAAAGTCCATTTATCATGGCCAAAATGGTTAAGCAACCTTTACCTCATATCAGCAGTAGAATCACAAATAAAATTTCAATTTCAACAATATTATATTTAACTTTGTACAACAAAAAGTCCATTTCATATGCACCCTACTATCTCATGTAAAACCCCCCTCAAATGCTCCCATTAAATGAACCACTACATATTAAATGAGTGAAGATCATCTCTGTCGCCACTTCACCAGTAACTCACATGCAGTAATGGAAAATCTTAAATTATTTCTACCCTTAAATGATTTATATAGCAACAATGGATGCCTCTCATTTTTACAGCAAGAACAGTAAAAATCTTAGCTCATTTCTGCTGCAACACCATCAGAAACCAGTAAACCTCCACCTTAGACCATGAAGTCATCAAAACACTGCTTAAGATGGAAAGATTTCAAAATCTACACACCTTGAAAGTTACTCCTTTCCATTAGAGATCAGAAACCTTCCCATTCTCCAGCTAAATACCCATCCCCGTGTCTATCATTCTTTCTCTGCGTTGGATTTCATTTCTGTCTATCAAGGGCAAAAAAGTATTTTCGCTCTAAAAAAAAATTGCACTTGAAGCCTCAAGGCCTGTAGAGCAATTTCAGATTCATTTAAGCCCTAAGTGAAATAAACTCTGTTTTTAGGACTCTTAATGCCATTCCCTTTATGGATTAATAAAAATTTAAATTTGAATCAAATCCTTGATTTAGATAAATAAAAATTTATGAAATTCATTCTTGTTATAATTCGTTTATAATTTAAATTTTCTTTACATTTTAATCATTTAAAATTTTAATCATTTTAAATTTTTTGTTCTCTTCATATTTTTTTTATTAATGCTTCTAGAACTCTTATATCTTTTTTCATATCCCACTCTTGTATCTCATTGATAAAAAATAAAAATAAAGTCACTACTTTTAATTTTTCTTTTCGGTTTTTTCTCTCCCTTTCTAGGGTTTTCTCTCAAGGGGTGAGGGAGTGCATCTCATCTGTGCGAGTGAAGGTTGACGACATCTCCCTTTCTGGCTTCTACCGGAGGCGAAGACATTTGTGCTTTGTTTTTGTCGTGGTCTCGTTTTTGTTTTCGTTTGTTTTTGCTTGGTTTTGCCGATGAAGGGGTAGTTCATTGGCTCAACAATAACCAAATCTAAGGAGCATTCCTTGCAATGTTGCTTGCTTGGTGGTGTTTTTGCTCGTGGTTGGATTGATTTGGAGCTAGTTACACAGGTTTGTGTTTTTGGGAATGAGACAGTGACGGCCATTTTTTTGGTGGTTCTTACTGGATGTCGGAGGTGGTGGCATTTCTAGGGTGCTTGTGAAAGATATCTCTTAAACCTCGAGTAATGTCTCAATAGTACGGGCTCGCTGTCTCTTTATCCTCTTCCATCTACTGTGTTTGTTTCTCTGATGTTCGTGGTTATTTGCTCTACTTTGGGTTTCACTCATGGTGGCTATTTTTCAACCTCTTTGGTTCCTTCCTTAAAAGGGGTGGGACTTTTGGATGGTTCTTTGAACCCCCACCTCTTATGGTCTGATTTTTTATTGGTGTTTTTTCTTTTCTATGGATTTCGGTGCGGTGATGGCGGACATTTCTAGTGGCAATGGTGGTGGCTGCGGCTCCTTTAAGCCCCCCTTGTTCTAGTGCTTGGGGTTAGGGTTTTTGTGGGCTTTGTCTCTTTAGATTCTGAGCCTTTTTGTTTTTGGACTATTTCTTTTATGTTTGTGGGTTTTGTCCTTTGTTCTGTTTGTTTCTAATATTTCTTATTTTCATCTTGTCAAAAAAAAAAATCCGTTTTGGTTTCAAAAATCAACCCATTTCTCTTTTTAATTTAAATTTTTTTAAACTACCCGAATAAAAATTTTTAAATATGAAATTTAAAATTTAAAATTTAAATTTAAATTTATCAATTCAAACACTAGCCTAGAATTATTTTTGCTTCTTAATCTTTTATTTAATCACCACTAACCCAGTCCCTTCTCCATAGGCGAAAAAGACAATTTCTTTTTAACCGTCGATAACAGCGTCCAGAACAGTGGGTGCACAGACAATTTCCCATCTTGAATTTTTTGTCTTCCTGGATGTGAATGAAGCGGTTAACAATTGGATGAGAGTCATGAGACAATAATACTAGATTTTTTTTTTTGGGGGAAAAATGCTTATTCACAGATGTGATAGAAAACATCCATTTCAACGTCAAAGAATGTTTGAATATAGTTGTAAAAAACATAAATGTAAACTATACAAAGTTAAATAGTCTCTGTTATCAAACCCTCTATCATATCAAATCCCTTTCATAACCAGTGCTTACATGGCGCAGCCGCATGCATGCTTGATGCTCCCAGTAAAAAGAAAGGTATGTCTTTGTCATTTTATATTTCTATTTATAAATTACTTTTATCATCTTTATCAATTAAAAAAACTTTATATCTTTTTAATTTTATTTAAAAATTCAATAAATTTTTAACCTTACCCCTTATTAAATATACTTACCTTAAAATGAAATACTCTAATATTTAATAAGTTTCTATAAAGATAAACATAATAATTATTAAAATACTTTAAAAATAGAACCAAAACAAACACATTTTTTACCCCATAAATAAGACTAGAGGAGTGATTCAAGGTTTCAGCCTTGAAACATTTCTGCCTTACTTGAGTTAACCCATCGAGCTTGGAAGCAAATTGCCAGTCCTAATCAATAGTCATTTTCTAGATCCGAATGACCGAACCCTACTCCTTGGCGTGATCAATTCCACATTTGCACGTAGACAAAAACGAATTAGCTAGATAACAAAATAGGAATGAACATGAGAGATGATACGGAACAAGAAAGATGACATTATGATATACTTTGCCAACTAGCATTTCAAGCTAACTTCTCTACAGACATCATTTACATAAATGGAATCGTATTGGCGAATTCCCTTGACCCTTAGCAACCAAACACTAAAACATCTCAAGGACGCATCTGTACAGGTCCTGTTGAGAGAAATGTGATACTGTCAGGGAATCATAAAGAACTTCCATGCCTGAATGAGCCTGCAAAAGACGGTGGGCAATCTATATCATATGGATGCTTCAAATTTATATATAACATAAAAACTAAACTTGACCTATTGAAGCTCCAAGTAACACAACCCAGAACAAGATTCTCGCCAGATGTACCACCTGGAGAGAATCCGAATCCAACTAGACCTACATAGTTACTTACAATAACACATCATCATCAGCACAGTCCATCTACTCCTAATCAAGAGGATGCTAAAATTCTAAAACTGTATGATGATGCAAATACCAAGACATGTCTGACATTGAAATAACAAATTTGTTTTCCGTTCACTTCATATATTTTACAGTAAGGTGCTAATTTCTTTTCTCATAGAGAAGCCACAAACATGCGGCTTCGTAGACAAATGGAATCTACTTTTGTTCTGATACACAGCAACAGAGCTGCGATGCAACATAAAGTATGACAATCTACGAATATAGATCTAGCAAACTTGATACCCCAGTAATGCCATAAACAAGAGTAACCCAGAAAATTAGTTATGACAACGTAAATATGGACAGAGGGAAAATTCTGGGAATTAGATGCCAGTTTTTTCCATAAAAAAATATTGGGAATTAGATGCCAGTTTTTTTCATAAAAAAATATTGGAACACTCAATCACTTAAAGTGATTTCCTTTTTTTTTTTTCTTTTTTTTTAATAAACCTTCACATGACATTTTAAAGGCCTTGTACGGTTGTACCTAACCTAAAGTTATACTTCGCGTTTAACACAGTTTTCTACTAGTTCAGTTATTGACATGAGAAATGAAAATCGCACGCATATCTCACCTCAGATGCAACTGGTATACGAGTTAACATCTTCATCCTTCCTCATCCTCAGATTGAGAATTACAATTAGATGTTGCCTCAATCTCCGTTGGGTGTGGAGCAGCACCTAAACCATAATAAAGGAAAGGTAAGAGACAGAGCACTAATCCAATTAATCCAATAATTACCATCTTCAACACATGTATAGCATCAGCAACTAAACCGACGTTATCAAGAAAGAGTAAAATCCAAGAACACGAAGAAGACCTCTACAGTTTTGAGCACCAACATCTTTCGAAATTTGAATTACAGACTCTCTTGAATCATGGTAAAAATCAGGAGAAAAAGAAAACATACCCTGGATGAAATATGAAGGAGAAGGCCAAGCTCCAGGGGAAGCGAGGGACGAAGAATCGTGGTGAGCGAGGGGATCGGTGAGGTTATGGAGCAAATAAGCGAGACCATTGGAAGGCGTGGAAGGAGGAGGGACCCAATAAGAAGCGCCGGGGTAGAAGGGGAGCCAATCGGGAGCAGATCGGCGAACCATGATGCAGTGGATGGCGTCCTCGAGCTTACGAATGTGAGGATCGGTGTTGGAAGAAGAAGAGGCGGAGTCGGCGTCGGCGAGATCCGAGGGTTGGTGGGATTGGTATCGGCAAGGAAGGAGACGAGAGTAAGGAGACATGGATTTGGTAGATAGGGTTAGGCTTCGAGCAATGGATCTTGCCATTCAACAGTGTAGGTGTGAACTGAACTTGGTGAAGGCTGGAAGACTCACGAGTTTGGATAATACGTGGGAATGAAGAAATCAAGAAAGTACGATGCCTGATAAGAAGGCTTATATATATATATATATATATATGGAGTTCAGAGTGGCGTTAGACATGTGCGAAGTCTGAGGGCCGGGCCGTGGTTTTGTAGAAACAAAAGAAAGCAATAAGAAACCAAACAACAGTAGTCGGTCACAGGTCAAGGCGTTTACTTCAAAAATTAATAATTAAGATTTCATTTACTTAGTAAAAAAGAATGAATTGAAATAAATTAAAAAAATAAAAATAAAAATAGAATTATTAAAGAAGATTGGTGAGCATAAGGAAAAGGATAATTTAATTTATAAATTTAATAATCATAATTCATAAAATTTTTAAAAGGTATGATAATTATCATATTTGTAATATATATTAACAAGTTTTATTATGTTTATTATTAGATGAAAAGTAATTTAATTTATTTTTATCTTAAATTTTTTAATAAATTTTATTTTTTCTAGTGATCAAGTGAGACTTAAAATTATATTTGACATGTGATTAAATCCCTTGCAAAAAATTTGTTAATATGCTAATTTAATAATTTATCAGTTTAGATAGATTCGAATTTTCATATTACAAAATACACAATAACATATATTTCTAAGTAAAATTTTTTTTGATCTTTTAATTTTATTGATTCAATTATCTAATTTTGATATTATTAATTTTATTTATAAAATATGTTGATATATTAAATTTATTTTTTAAAAAAATTAATAATAATTGGGAAAAAATTATCATAATTAATGGTCAACAAATAAATTTTTTTATAAAATCAAAAGAATAAATTAAATTATATAAAATTTGATGATTAAATATATTTTTGTTGTCATGAATGAAAAAAGGTTCTTTTTTTTTTTTCTTGTCCGGATGAATCAAAAGGCTTCTCTTTCCCATCCCATACTTATTTATGGTTTTCTTTTTTAACAACACGCTTATTTATGTTTGGTATACTGTAATAAATTATAAAGGAAAGGGAATGAAAATGATATTACTTTAAGTATAAATATAACAAGAATGGACCAAATTACCCCTAAGAATAAAAATTTAAAGAAAAACATAACTTTTTGTCTTTGTACTTTGTTCACATTTTGCTATTAGTTCCTGCACCTTTTTTTATATTTTTTGTCCTTATACTTTTATTTTTCATTGTTTTAGGTCCCTTCATGAACAAAATATAGTGACCTTAGAGAGATCTAAAATAACAAAAAATAAAAATACAAGAACTAAAAATATTGAAAAAAGTACAGAAATCAATAACAAAAAGCAACCAAAATATAAGGACATAAAGTTATGTTTTTCCAAAATTTAATCATATACATAAGGGCAAATGTGACTTTGCATGCTTATTCCTAATCTATACTATTTTATTCCATCAACTTTCTCCTATATTTAGTATAAGTCAAATTTAACCAACTTCATGCTAATTAAAAAATTATGGTTATAACCTTAAAACTATTTTAAAAAAAACACACATGACTTTCTAATTTTATCCTTATTTGCAATTAATAATCATAATAAATTATTTTATAAATATTCAAATCATAATAAGTAAATGAGTAAAATTGAAAAAAATTAATTACTCTAACTTTACCTTTTATTAAAGATTTAAATTTTTTCAAAATTGATTAGATTACGATATAAGGTATACTCCCGAAGAGATACTCACAAATTGCCAGCTGAATTGATTTGGGTCAAAGATCTAAGATACTAGAATAACAGCAACAACCAAAAAAAAAAATTATCTTATATTAAGAATTGGAGGGAACATTTAACAATGAAATGGTCAAACTTAATTCAAATTTGAATACAATTCATTTAAAGCAAACGCAGGTCATGATCTTTGCATACATTTTTTTTCCTTTTTACTTATTCCTTAATACTCATTCAAGTAAACCAAACATAATATTAGAGACTAATCCTTTTTAAAGTGTGGAAATCATAGAAGTCGGCTTAACCACTTTCAACCATGTCTTTTTCATATGCATAACTAGTAGAGATTGAACTCCTAACAATAACATGCTTCACATATTCATGAAAACGTAATTTTTTTTCTTTATAACAATGGTTGGTTTAGATGATAATGTTGAGTTAAAGGTCATTTTTCCTTTAAAATATTTGTTTAGGATCTGCAAGTGTTTTGAACTCGATTGTAAGTAGAAATTTTCCTGAATGTTTAAAAACACATTTTTCTTATAATCAATTTTTCCATTAACCAAATTTTTTGACCAAAAATATATGGGTGTTATCTAAGTAGATTCGATCAGAAATTACTAAGGTCACTTTTTCTAAACTAATTTACGAATGTGATGTGAAAGACATATATATATATATATATATATATTTAAATTTCTGATTGATCATCCACTTGGATGCCACGTGTATATATGTGTGAAATCTACTAATTTAAATTAACATCCATTTGTGATGTGTTGATGGTAGGATAAGTGTTAGTTTTTTTAATGTTTATGCTCTATTTGGTTGGAAAGAAAACATGGAAAAAAAATAGGAGAGAAAATAATTTTTTCTCTGTTTGAATAGGAAAGAAAAAAATCAAAGAAAAGAAAATGTGAGAAGAAAATAAGATGTGGGACCCATTATATTTTCCTTCCAACTTTTCTCTCCAAAAGTGGAGATATTTTAGGAGTAAATTTTTTTTTTTTTAGCATCTACCCTCTCATCTGTTTTGCGCTCAAGACTCCCATCTATTTTCATTTTCGTATGTCTCAGCTTAGGAGGCTCCCATCTTCAATTGACCCAGCCAAAGCATCGTTTTTATCAATGGCTTCTTCTTCTTCTCAGGCATGCTCTCGCTACAACTCTTGGACTCATCAAGGTTAGTTCTTCCTCTTCTTCAACATCGTCTTCATCCCTATCTGGTTTGATATATTCTTGTATATGCAGTGTATTTCTTGCCATCATTTTCATTCTTGTTTTTTTAACATTCAGCGTACCTATTTTGCCTATGTTTGTGAAATTTTGATTTGATGAAAAGGGAACAAAAAGCAAGATAGGAATTCTATAGATTATCAGTTTGAGTTCCACCTCATAATTTTTTTCATTCCATTTTAAATCATTCAACAATATTTATAAGAGGGAGATGCTCAATTCTTTTTACTTCTCAATTTAGTCCTTTTGTCTTCTTAGGATAATATAAAAGTAATGAATGATTTTGCTGTACTAATTTCATGATATTGGATTATGTGTTGTTTTGTTCTTCATACCCAACCTATATGAAGTTTTTTCATAGGTCTACAAATTCTATATTAGAACTATTTTAATCTAATATAAGGTGTTGTTTTATATTAGATCATAGTTGATTGATATAAGCTGGTAAAGATTATGAAAATCAAAGGGAAACCACTTAGATTGGGATATTTTGCTTCCTAACTACATTAATAAATAACCAATTTCCATGCTCATCCACATCATTTGGCCTTTTTTTATTTTTATTTTGCCTAATGTAGAGTGTTGCTCACCGCAAGTGCACAAGTCGTAGCAAGTAATATAATGAAAGTAAAGTATCGTTTTCTCGAGAATTTATTTAAAAACAATGATCAAACAAAAGACTAAATAAATTCAATCAAGTTGAGCCGCACATAGTTAGGTGAAAATGATTTTACAAATTAAATTAACACTAGAAAATAAAAAAAAGTAATTGAATTACAAACTTTAAACACAAATTGGGATTTAGGATTATTTATCCCCCTTGCATTTCTTAACACCAAAATTACCTCCTCTCATAAATACTTTTAATGAAAATAAATGCTAACCTAGGGTTCTAAAAATACTTGGACAAGCTCTCTCAAGTCATGAATAAGTGTTTAGTTAAATTAATTGTCCAATTTCCCGTTATAATTAATAAAACTCAATTTTAAACACCAACCCTAATGTGGTTATACAAGGCTAGCAAGTATACCTCTATCTTACTAGCAAAACTATCCATTCAACATGTAAATATCAAATTCTTGCACAATTTTACCCAAACTCTATACTCAATCTAGCCCTTTCAAGCATCAATTAAATGAACCCAACATCTAAATGATGGCCAATCACTTAGAAGCATTAAGGAAAGAGTAAAATAAACACACACACACACACACATCATTAATCACAAAAAGAGAGGAGGAACATAATGTTAATCTATACAAGGGTTCAAAATAATCCTAGAGCAAAAAGTTTAGCTACTCATAAACATTAAAAAGCTAAAAATACATAAAATATTCATAGCCATTACAAGATAACAAGAAGAGAAGTGAAGAGGAAATAAAGGAACCAAAGAAATGGAGCTTCGAATCTTTTTAAAGCTTCAACTCTTAGACCCAACTTGTAACATCCTAAAACTTCAAATCTGGAAAAATGGATTAATTAAGGGATAAATTAGTTAAAAATATGATTAATTTATTTAATTATGTTTTTGGGTGGCTAATTAGATTTTTGGGTCATATTTGGCTCTAAATTGAGATAGGATGAAAGTCGGATCAAGTCGGGAGGCATTAAAGGGAGCAAAATCAAGTTGTTGCTCACTGCGCCGTGAGCCGTGGCGTGCGCTGTGACGCACGGCACAGCAGGCAACTTAAATTTTCAGGAATCATCAGAAATGGACAGTTTTTGGTGTGGAAAACCTAGAGCACGAAGGGGGCAACTTTGGACACTGCTAGAGCATCAATTAGGAAGGATTTTGAAGATAATTTGAGCCTTCAAACTCTTGGGTAAGTTTTCTACCCTTCTCCTCTACCTTTTTATCTCATTTTCCATAGGATTTGGAAGAGTGAGAATTTGGTCTGATGGGATTAAGCCATGATTCAATGTTTTAAAGGTTTCTATTGACCCTAAAGGTCTAATTTAGGTTTATTGATCTTGGATATGTGGTAATAGGAAGCTACTTTCTTGTTTGGTGAATTTTGGATCAAGCCCCAACTTGATCATAGGGTGTTGAAGTGTAATAAGTTGAGATATTGAGTTTTATGATGTGATAAAGTTAGAAAGAAACTTAAAGGGATGAT